ATAAATTAGTCCACTCAGTGCCTCGGCGGCAATTGACGTCAACGCTCATGTTACTAAAATATTTGAATTTCAGTAGCTTTGCATGATTCGCGTTTCATCAAATTAATAATGAGCAAGTTTTTGCCACGTTTGTCGTCAGCAAAATGTTGTTTAACGCAAAATAAATCAAATTAAATTTCGTAACGCACTCGTAAGCAAATTTCCGTTGGTTGGTTTGGAACGCGACCTAAAAGTATGCAGCACGCAAGTGAGGCACATAGTAGGGGGAGGAGGCAACACTGTGCTACAATAAATTGGGGATAAGAGTGACTTGTTCGTGAAACTGTTTGTGTGCATAGTTAATAGATAATAGATAATATATAATAGAAATAATAATAAAAAAAAAGAAATAAAACAAACATTTAACATATTTTTATTTTGTTTTAAATAAATAAGAAAAATGATATTTAAAATTATATAAATTTGAAAATCTATAAACTCATTAAATTCATTTTGCTAATATATATAATATATAATATACATAAAGCATTTTTATTAAATATTTTTATATTACTTAGAATTGTATTTAATAAAAATTTAAATTTGATTATATTTGATAGAAACTTAAATTTAATGAGAACTAGTTAAAAATATTATTAATATATATATATATTATATTTTCTACATTTTACTTTATATATTTATTGGTTTATTTTTTGTTGTTTTTTTTACTTAGACACTTTTAAGCTCTGCTGTATAGTGTAAGGATTTACTTGTTTTATGCGGTCCTTCCGTAATATTTCTATATTCTAGGTCGCTGCTTTCGTCATGTCCATATGTGAGCTGGATAATATACACACGTTCCGGGTAGATACTAGCACCACTTCACTTCAGATATATGCGACACGTGGCAAAAGTTTAGCTCGGCCAAAACTTTGTCTGCATCAAATAGAAATATAAGAAATTAAATACAGACAGTTCATTATAATGAAAAAGTAATATGAACGAACTCAAGTCACACATAAAGATATGCTAACGCGACATATTGAAATGAGCAACATGAATGGGATTGAAATAGTCAAAGCTGCAGAAGTTCAAGTGGCCCTTCGACTATGGTAATTGATATCGAATGCATAATTTAGTATAGACACTATTATATCAGAGGCAGTTGACCCACGGCTCGACATACATATCTTACACATAACTCTAACTACATAATATATTTGTATATGTATGTCTTTGCTTCTGTTGTTGTCTTTATCTTCTGTAGTGCAGTTGACACTCTCACAAATTAATAACAATTGACGCAATGCATTGAGCATGCGAGTAAATTGTTGCACTCGAGGCGAGTCTTTTAGTTTTTGCGTGGGCATTTGCACAAATAGAGAAGCTGCAGCAGCTATGTATGTCCAGAATACAAAAGAAAGTCGAATAGAAATTAGTTGAACAATAAGCGTTGTCTGCTTAAGTGTGTGCGCGTGTGTGTGTGTGTGTGTGTAAGTGTGACCAGGAAGAAATGTGAAAAGTCTGTCGCATCATACTTGACTATGTTTTGGAACAGGAGCGGAATAATCAGTCAGAGGGTAGGCCTAAACTTGCAATATATAGTTGATATATACTATTATCAATATTTATTATGTATAATAAAAATAATATAAATATTAGCTTCAAAATAAATGTTTTAATTAGAAAGAATAGTTGGGTCTGCAGCTAAATTGATAGTAAATAAATTGATAAAAAATAATAATATTAAAAAAAAATTATTTTTATCGTATTCCTCGCTTGTCTAAAACCTCAGTTTTTATTCCTGTGATTTCAGAGTTTTCGATTCACGTTTCTCCTCTACAGTATTCATATTATTAGGCAACTTCAACAACAGTTATTCCAGATTTACTTTATTTTGTTTAATATTTAGCACAGTATTCTTCTATTCAACCTTTGTCATTCAAATTTATACTTTAATGGTCTAAACATCATTCCACTCTCGGCACTTTAACTGTATAAAATTAATTTGCAATGCATTTTAATCAGGTTTCATGGTATTTTTTCAACACAATTCCATATTAATTTTCAACATTTAAACATCGGCTAACAATTTGCCTGAATTTTCTTAAATTTCGCACTGCTCCCGCCGCTCGACATGCACTTGACTGCTGATACAATGCATTTGCATTGGCATCTGACACCGCTGACCTCTCGCGGCGTCTATTGTTGCGATCAATGCGATTGTCCGTCCGTTAATTGCATTTGCCGCATAAGCGACACAAGTGAAACATAAATAATTGTAAATTATTATTCAATTCACATTTCTGTCGTCAAATTGTGCTTTATTGAGATGTTGTTGTCAGTTGTTGTTGTTGTTGGTTGGCTGTTGTTGTGGGTTGTTGTTTGTTTTGTTTGTTGGCCTCTACAGTTGCAAACTGTGGACACTGGTGGGGCGCAAGATTTCAAACGCTAAATTGCATTTATACCCATTAAAAGTGTTTAGTCGGGGTATATTGGTATTTGCCAAATTTGAAATCAGTAAATTCTAGTATATAAAAATTGGGTTTGCAGTTTAAAATGCCCAAACAATATAAAAAATATAAAATATATAAATTTAAAATGTCTTCTCTTACTTATATTTTTCTTAAATAAAAAATTAAAGTTTTTTTTTTAATTTTAGTATGTAGTTTAATAAATAAACATCGAATTAAAACCTAATATATTAAAAAAATTTCAAGTTGGCATAAATAATATTAAACAAATTTGATAAAAAAAAATTACATAATTTATTTAATTTCTTTGATTTTATAATTAACAAATATAAATTATTTGCCAGTTTTTTAATATATTTCTTAGCTGATTCATAGGAATATATTCAGACATATTATTTTGAATTTTTGGAAAGACAATAAATATATATAATGTGTTCGGCAGCTCGTATCGAAAATATCTCTATTAAATACAGTTTTTGACCATCCTAATAACTTGGCATCGATAAATTGAATATTTAATTTATTTACTGTGATATTTTAATTATCTTTTTAAATGAGATAAAATTAATTATTATATATTAATGTACATAGTTGTATATATTTGGTTTTTTTTTTGCTAACTATTCTTTTATGGAACTGATAGAATAATCCCAACGCCTTGCTGTGCATATGGATATTCGATGTTGGCAGGGTATCTCCGCGTGTTGCTTTCGCTTGTTGTTTTTGGCCCGTATCAGTTTGTTTGTTGTCTCCACACAGTCACCCATATGTCGTCGCTTGTTGTCTCTCGTGCGTGTCTCATTTCGCGTTGCACATTTCCTGATTTTTGTTTTACTTAAACAAAAAAAAAAAAAAAAAAAAAAAAAAAAAAAAAAAAAAAACAAACAAAAAGAGCTGAAAAAGACTTTTGCTTGTGTGTTTTGCTTGACATTTTCTCGAGTCTTGTCTTCTGTCTTCGTTGGCTGTTGCTTTTCCGCAGTGACGCATCTGCAGCTTTGGCTTTGGGCCGCATGTCAAGTGACGTTTCGCACGTTTCACATTTTGTTTGTGTTTCATATATATGTTATTTACGTATTTTTGTTGTTGTTTTTATTTTTATTTTTTTTGTCGATTTCCCGTCGCTTTGCACGTTTCCCAGTCGAATGTCACGAGCGCGCATGTTCAAGTGGGTCGCTAGGGCTCTTGGATGGCTTTTGTCTGTGGCCAATGGCTTTTTGATTAGCCCGGGCAGCTTGAGCGACTTATCCACTCAGCTGGGCCAGCAGCTGCACTGTTGATTGTTTAAAAATAGCTAACCCAAGCCTGTCTGGCACCTGCTGCCTGCCTGCACCTTGTCACGTGTCTCGATTGCTCACCTGCCTTGGCGGCTCAACTGGGCATTTGCATTTGAAAATCAATATGGGCCAACAGCTTAGTGCGCTTCAATTGCATTTGGAGGCGAGAAGGAGGCACCATAGGGCAGTCCAACGGCTCGGATGTTGTCATTGTCTGGCCGTAAATCGAGGCTCTTAAGCGGATTAGTTTGATTTGCAATCCAAGTCTACCGCTCTCTGCCTCTCCCTCAGCCTCACTCTCCGTTTCCCTTTCTCATTCTCCCTGTCCTTGTCTAAAAATCAATAGGCTAATGCACTTGGGCACTTTGTATGTTAAAGTCCAACTGACTAATTCGCTAGAAAGGTGAAAAATACATTGTAGTTTCTTCAGTTTTCGTCTTTTTCTCTTGAGCCATTGCCTTCACTGCCTCTCAGAAACCTATCAAATTCAATGAACGCACGCAGCAATATGCTTTCCCATAAAAATAATTTTTAATATAAACTGTTTTCCCTTTAACAGTTTTTTAAAGGTATTTCAATTTTAATACATAGCTATAAATAATATAAGAAATAGTATTTATTTTTTAGTGTATCTAGTGCAGCTAGTCTAATCTAATTTTTTTTACCAGTCACGCTTGATTTCGTAAAAAGCGCTAAATTATAGATTAGTTCTTGATCGATACATTTGACTTTCACTTGACTGTTTTATAAATCATTTAACGCTATGAAGCTCTTGCTGCTAGGTTAGACTTGGTGTATTTCAATATTATTTCGATATATACATATATTATCTGATTCGTCTCTGCAGTTATTGTGATCGGTTCCTTTGAAAAATCAAGGTCGCATTGCCCTGTGATCAGAGCCCAATGTCCAAACAGATACGTGCAATTCTGGTTATACTCCAAGTAAGTTGAGGACAATACAATATGTATTATGAGCAATATAATCGTATATTAGGGTATTAATGAGACTTTGAACTTATGCATATGCAGAAGTAAAATACCCCAAGTGATCAATCCGATTAAAATAAACCGCAAGAGCTTTCAACATAGTGAGAAGATTGTTATACTAATACACGGCTATGCGGGCAATCGTGACGGGCCCCCAAATAACTCGATTCGTCCGGCTCTTCTAAAATACAAGAATGTCAATGTCATATCTGTGGACTATGCTCCACTAGTGAAGTATCCCTGTTATTTCGAGGCTGTGCAAAATGTACGCCTAGTTGCCAATTGTCTATCCCAAATGATCAATGTTCTGGTCGGTAAAAATATCGTCAAAAATGCCAACTTGCATGTGATTGGCTTTGGTCTGGGCGCTCAGGTAGCTGCTCCATAGATCTCCACACTCTAAGCTTTTCTAACAAAATCCCTTTCTCTCTCTTCACCTCAGCCTTTTCTCTGCCTCACTTCACTCAACAATACCTTAATTTATCATATTGCGACTTTCTTTGGCAATCAAATACGAACGTCAGCAAATTCCGTTCGTGTGGGCGGATCTAAAATCGGCGAAAGCAGGAAATACAAGGTCTGCCCCGAAATGGACTTTACGTCCTTGCTCCACAAAAAAAAGAACGACTTGCGAATCGCAGTACGCCAAACAAAAGAGCTGTCAAACTTGACAGACGGAGACAACCTCGTGCCGTGAATCACATTTCCATTACTCATTGCGAATGTGAGGCGTGAACTGCTTTACGCAAAGATAAAAAATCTCGTTTGTTTATTGTTTATTTTTGAATTTACCAATTGAAATATCGAACGGTAAAAAAAACAGGCCTCTCGCTAAAAAAAAAAAAAATGAAAGAAAAGCAAAAGCAAAAGCAAAAACATTGACGCATGCGCAAAATTACAAAACTTTGCGAAATTACAGCACAGAAGAAATATCGCAGACAATTTGCGGGAGATTGTCTTCACTTATTATATGCTTAGCTGGAATTCAAGTCAAGTTTATTTTGTTGTAGACGGCATAATTGGAAAGTGCGTGTGCGTAGAATACCAACAACAACAAAATCAGAGTTAGGCATCGCGAAAAGTAAGTAAATATGAATGTAAGAGTGGGTTATAAAGAGATAGAGAGACTGAGAGAGAGCGAGAGAGAGAGAGAGGGGGAGTGAGATACGAATCGGAGATACTCTGTAAAGAAAGTGAATTGTCTGTAATATTAAAGCTATAATTTAATATATCTATAACAACAAAGAAAAGATCATAAAGCTAGAGTAAAATATTTATATTTATTTTAGTTATATAAGATCAACCTGATTTCGTAGATAAAATAAATATAAAATGTTAAGCTCAGCTCATTCGAAACGAATGAATGAATATATTTCATATAGGCATAGGCTATAAAAATATATGTATGTATGTATATATATTTGAAGGTCTTCTTATACATATTATTCTAAATTTCTGTGAAGTTCTAGCTGACATTCACACTCATCCATTGTACACGTATTCTCTCACTCATTTTGGAATGGCAACCAGAGTGGAAAGTCTTTCCATTCTCATCGCCTTCGCTGATTATGTTAATGTTATAATAACAATAAAATCCCTTACATGATGGGCCCATAATTTTTACAAATTACTTGAAGCAACAGCTGTCGAGTCATTCGATTCGACTGGCCGGTTTGGGGAGCCTGGCACCAGATACAGAAACCAAAACTGGGTTAATTACACCATCGGCTGGGCCACATTTGGGTGTGAATTGTTATCAATTGGTGCCGGGCACTGCTGCCACAGGCAATGAGCGTGCAAAATGTTTGCTAAGATCTTGCAATAATATATGTAAGTCCATCAATAAAGAAAAATGCGCGTCTGGATGGAAAAGAATGAAATTGTATTTAAAATGAATAAATTTTTATATAAATAAATTTGTTATGAGCAATAAGCTATGAAATCATTAATGCTTATATTATATATTATTTCTTCAAGAAAAAATAACTGGTATATAATTTTCAAAATAAAATAAAAATTTGTAAATATATATCATTTAATATTTATATGAAAACTTTAATTGTTTTTTATTATTGCCGTTATAAAAGTATTATTTTATATTATGACGTTTTAAAATTATTTATGTTCTTATATTATTTCAAAAAATATATATTTATTTGAGCTTAGATGTCTAACTTAATATATTTTATGTAATTTTCCCAATTGGTTCTCAAATTTTTCTTATTAAAAAATCTTTCACAATATTTGACTCCACTAAACACACATTGATCACTTCACACCAACATTTAGACTCTCTTTCATTTTTTAAGCATTTCCCAATCTAAATTGTCAATTAAAGTTGCATTTTCCGCCCACCCAGCAGAATGCTAACCACAATTTTTCACACATTTCACTTGGGAGTGCATTTCAAAAATTTATAGAAAGAAATGAGGAAAACATAAAACGTTTTCAATACATTTTTATTTTTTCTAAATTTAAATCGATGTATTTTCCGAATCGTGTCGACGCTGCAATTTGTTAACAATTTTCACACGCCGCCGCCTGACAGCTGAGCCACGCCCAGCGACCAACGCCCACTAGCCCACATAAATCCAATGCGTAGGCCATTAGTCAGCGTTTGACAGACACTTAAAGTTTGGCCCCCAAACTTAAAAACAAACCAACAAAAACAATTCACATAAGTTGCAGCTGCAGAGGCAACTGCAGTCCGCCAATTTATTTGCAAATACAAACCATATATAAACATATTTATTATGCAGAGGCTAATAAGCACATTGCATTAACTGTGCTGACAATTCAATGGAGCTGCATCTGTTGATCTCAGTGTCAGTCTCCCTCTCCTGCTCGGCTTTAGTGAAAGGTAGCGCCATCTGGCGCACAGATGCCCTTCGCTGCATCCATATAAAAATATCCGCCAACTGTGACTTTGCCCCGCCTCAATATACATTTCATTCCATTGCACTGCACTAATGAAGCTCAACTATGTCATTCTGGGTGGTATTAATTGTTTTTCTTTCCATAATAAACAAAATAACAGAGGGGGAAAACGATTTATGGCATGATATTTACTCTGATCTATTACCTTGAGCTTGACCCATTAGCGGCTCTGCTCAATGTCTGGCTGCTCAGAGATTTATTAGATGTTTTCCTTTACTTGGCCTTGAAATTTGTTTAGATCTGGGTAAATGCATTTTTCATTTAGTTGCTTTTATAAAAATTTGTGTGCGGTTAGTGAAAAATAATTGGAAGTGGTAAACCAAATATAAAGAAAAAGTTCTATTTAAATTTACTTGTTAGAACCCAAGATATTATTTTCAATATTTATTTATGAGCGAGAAATTAATATATTAAAAACATTTATACATCTATTTTTTTTTAATTTTGACAACTTTACATTTATTGCATTTTTGAACATTTAAAAAAAGTGTTTTGTACCAAATAAAATATTTATAAAAAAATATATGTTTTTTTTTTTAATTTTATTATATATAAACTATTCTAGCTGACAACTAAATTAAGATCCAAATGTCTTAAGCTAAATTTTTTATTTTGATATAAAATAAAGCGAATCAAATTTTTATTTAATATAATATATAATTCATTTAATATAATGTATAACAATAAATATATATTTTTTTTTTTTAATAAATATTTTAATATATTTATTACATCTCATATAAATATATATACATATATGGATAGCCAGCTATCAACCATACAAAGACCACTTCATTAACGTTTTATTAATCTATTGAAAGGCGGCAGGAAATCGCTGATTGATTTCGATAAGCGCTTGCACAATCGATTTAAATCGCTTGCTAATGAGAGCTGCCCTCAGTCAAATATCGATTAGGGAAACCCATGAAACGGCACGCATGGGAATTATGAATTTGAATTAATAAAGTGAAGATGAGCTGTGGGCCATTGTCTTAGTCGCCCACATAGCTTAAAAAATTGAAAAGAAATTGATTCGAAATAGACATAAACAAAACATCAAAATATTTATAGAGCTTCGTATAACACGAACCTTGGACACAGCACAAAGATTGCGACTAGACAAAGTAAAAAAAAAAAAGACTCAAGATTCCAATTCAATTTCCAACAGAGTTTTGTTTATGTTTACCAAAGCAACAACAACAACAACAACTGCTCCAAAACTCCAAAAATGACATAAACAAATGCCGCTTAACGCATACGAAAAAAAAATAACATAAAATAAGAGGAAAACGCATAACGTAATACCTAAACTGAACGAAACGGAACGAACTGAGGATGAGAGTGAAAGTGCCAAAAAAAAAATAGAAAGAAAAATATAAAAACAACAATAAATACAAAACGCACTGTAGCCAGTTACCCCCCGCTCTGTCGGCTGCCCCTGCTCCAGCCTTCGCCTGATTACCGCACTCAACAAACGGGCTAACACCCTCTCTATCTCACCTCGCTCTGCCTCTCGCACGCTCTCTGCCCGTCCCTCTTCTCCTCTCTCTCTCTCTAACTGCATTTTTTCTCAAGCGTGCAAGTGAAATTTTCCATATGCGGCTGACGATCTGTGCTGCACAGTGAAATTTTCGTCTCGTCTCCGGGGCTCCAACCCAAAAGAAAAAAAAATATATACTGTATGCCCGCTATACTTCGACTCCCCCTTCGACTCCAATTGCTGCTGTTGCTCTTCTCTACGCTGCTTGAATCGCGACGCGTGTGTTTTGTTTACAGTTGCAAGTTTTTGTTATGATTATACACTCCATTGAGGTACATCTACTATTTCCACAAAATCAAATCTCATTTTATATGTTATTAAATATTTTATATGCTATTTATATTATATATTAAATATTATATTTTATATAATATATATTAAATATGAAATATTATTTATTAAATATTAAATATTAGATATTAAATATTTAATATCTACAGTTGTATTAGGGTTTATAAATTAAATTTTTGTTTTCAAATTTCAGAGAAATTTTCATATATTAATATTTACATAGTTGTACTGAAAATATTCCCACTTTTGAATAAGCTCTATTTTGTATAAATATATTTTTTAATTTACCACTTCTTAAAAGTACTTATACTTATTTTTAACTTCAATATTAATTTTTATAAAAATAATTTAAAAAAAAAATATTTAAATTTAAAAAAATAAAATACAAATTCTATATACATATTTCTATAAAATTGAAATTGTATAAAATATATTATTTAAGGCTACACATAGTTCTATTAAATTTATTTACAAGGAATACTTAACGAAAACGTACTTGTAATTTATTTCTAGAGTATCGTATCTTCGCTGCGATATTCTCTATATATAGGATTTCTAATTCCTAGTTGTTATTGTTGTTGCCATTGCTGTTGTTTATTTTTGTTTGTGGCTGTTGCAGT